CAGCTGTGTTATGCACCGCCATACTAGTCCTACTCCAGGTATTATGGTATGGGGCGGTATTGGCTATCACTCTCACACTCCTCTAATACGCATTGCTGCTACTTTAAACAGCCAGCGCTACATCTCCAAGATGTTGGAGCCAGTTGTCCTTCCTTACCTTCAGGGCTTGCCCACAGCCATGTTTCAACAGGATAATGCGCGACCACATGTGGCATGCATTCTCCAAGGGTTCTTCGTCAATTGCCAGATTGAAGTGCTTCCCTGGCCAGCTCGCTCTTCGGATCTTTCCCCAATAGAAAACATGTGGTCCATGGTTGCTGAATGATTGATTGACCCAGATTACATCCCAAGCTGCCACACCAGATCAACTTTGGCAACGTGTGGAAGCTGCTTGGTCTGCTGTACCCCAAGAACACATCCAAAGTCTCTTTGAATCAATGCCGAGGCGTGTGACAGCGGAGATCTCCAACAATGGCGGCTACTCTGGCTACTGATTTTGGAAGGAACCACATTTCACACAAGTCTGTAAATTTAATCATTTGATACTTGGTCAACATGTTATCTACTAAATAAATTTTGCTGTGATATCTCCTGTCTGTCTTGGTGTTGCAATTTGGGTGGCCAGCAGTGTATAAAGAAGTACCAAAAATATTGTTTATGTAAATTCAAATAAAACTATTAATTTTGATGCAGCTGACATCAGTCCCCAGCACATAGTATTTGGGGAAGGGGAATTTGATGTAGACTTAGTACCTTTTTTGATGAATCTTCGAATTATGGTAACTTGGCGATTTTTGGGTAAAAATTTGGCGACCAACCCTGCTAGAGCAACCTGCAATTTTTTTTTTTTATGCTATTTTGTTTTCACGAAGTAAAGGCTTTTTTTTTTTTTTTTTTCCTCAACATTTTTTCCAACAATCTGCTAGCTGAATTACACTTATGCTAGAACTTTTATGGAACAAAAGTGCTTAATCATGACGAAGATTATGTGCGAAATTGGGAGAAAGTGCAGAATCGCCCACTGCTTCACGTGTTTTTAAGAATTGCACATACATGGTATCCATGTACACGTCGACCTATTTTCACTTAAAAAAACATCCCAGAATTGCACAAAAATGGCATTGTGCACACGCTTGACTTTATCCATGTACACATCGACCTATTTTCACTTAAAAAGTCAAAGAAAATTGACAAACATCCAATTCTTCTTATTCTTGTGAAAAGCACCAAACAAATAAGTGGGCATCTGCACTTTAGCAGCGAAATTGTTTCCAAGTGCTTATTAGCTAAAATCACGATCGGAATTTTCTGAAAAATGTCACATGACATGTCTCATGATCTCTCATTTCTCTGAGACAAAATAATCTGTGATTCGAACTGTGTACTTCTCAGATTATTGCTAAAGTCCTACCTAGTAACCTTTATTGCCTCACCAAAATATCGCCAAACTACCTCTTACCATATTCCAATGATTACCCCCTTAAAAAAAAAAAAAAATCTGATATAGGCATCCTGACTTTCTTGTGCAGCATGTTAAATTATACACATTTTTATTGCTTTTCATTTAAACTTATTTTCTTGAATTATTCTAGTTTAATTAACAAAGTCTCAAGGCAAGTTGAAAATCATGTCTCATGATCTCTCATTTCTCTGAGACAAAATAATCTGTGATTCGAACTGTGTACTTCTCAGATTATTGCTAAAGTCCTACCTAGTAACCTTTATTGCCTCACCAAAATGTCGCCAAACTACCTCTTACCATATTCCAAAGATTACCTCCTTTAAAAAAAAAAAAAAAAAAAAAAAAAAAAAAAAAAAAAAAAAAAAAAAAAATCTGATATAGGCATCATGACTTTCTTGTGCAGCATGTTAAATTATACACATTTTTATTGCACTTCATTTAAACTTATTTTCTTGAATTATTCTAGTTTAATTAACAAAGTCTCAAGGCAAGTTGAAAATGGCATTAAAATTTGCAGATTTATTTCGGTCAGTTTTTGTCGTTCGGAACTCAAACTTCGTATAATTTTACTTTTTCATAATGAATATAAAACTTTCCTAAATATGAGTATAAGATCCAGGAGACCACAGTAAAAGTTATAATTTGTTATTTGTTGAAATTTTTATTCCAAAGGGGCTTTGTCCCTGAAGGACTATTGTTTTCGTTTTGCGATTTCGTGTCAGATCTTTATAAACAGTGTATCACTTTTCAAATTGTTGCCACCAAATATTAGAGTCCTGCATTATATTTGAAGAGCAAATAATGAAGAATCTGCATAAATGTATGTATGTTTCTCACATTGTGATTAAACAACAGTACCTAGATCCATCCAATTTTAAATGATGTAATCCTACTGCGAATATGGGCATCTAAAAGCCCAAATTTGGAATTTGTTGTATTATCGATTTAATATTTTGTAAAACTTTAAAAAATTTTTTAATTACAAACTCTACGATTTAAAATCGTGAAAAAACCTTTTTATCTCTAGCGTACGGAACTGTGTATCAGAAATTCTAAAGATATGCTCATTTTAAAATTATTTTGCGACATTGCTGTTGAACTGCGTTTTATGGTTTAAGTGCAAAGATTTAATAAAATAGTATTTAATAAAAGGTAACACACGAAATGTTAAAAAAAATGCCCCTATGGATGTAATTTAAAATCTGAAACCTTTCTTCTTCTTCTTCTTCTTCTTCTTCTTTTTTTTTTTTTTTTTAATATGGTATTTCTAAAATATTGAATAGTTTCATCATTTGAAAGTGCCAAATGCATCATGTAATTTATTCCTGCACATTTTGGATACATACTTCCAAACACTCATCATTAATTTCTTAAGATGTGTAGTCTTGATTTTCACTACACAGTGAGTGCTATAAGTGCCACACAATTTTATATATGTGTATTACATATTTAAACAATAGGTGAAAGCAGCAAAGTGACTGATTATGTGTATGTATGCGAAGCAATAGCGTTTGAGAGAAGACACTGCATATCTTGCAGCTGGAATATTTATACGTATAGATTCGACGCTTTGGGGTCTTAACTTGCTAGACACCCATACACACACACATACAGTGGATGGACAAAAATATGGAAACACCTTGTGAAATGCATGTTTGAAAAGATTGATTTTAATGAAATATGTAGGTGGCGCTGGCGTTTTTGACTAATGACGCCACCTATACAACTTCGTAAATGTGCTAAACAGTTCAGTTGTTGTCGGAGTACTGTTATGTGAGGTTGTCATTGCATTATGTCAGAGTTAACAGACTTCGAACGTGGGCAAATTGTTGGAGCACGTATGGTAGGTGCTTCCGTAAGCAAGGTAGCTGAGGTGTTTAGTGTTTCAAGAGGTACTGTATCGAAGATTTATTCCACATATTTGAAAAGCAGAAAAACATCATCTACTAAATCACAGCACGGACGAAAGTGTGTCCTGAGTGATCATGACAGACGATCATTAAGGGCAATTGTGACGAAAAATAAGAAGACCACAGCTGCAAAAGTTACTGCTGAAATGAATGTTGTGTTACCGAACCCTGTGAGTACCAAAACAATTAGAAGGGAGCTTCATAAACAGGGAATTGCTGGCCGTGCTGCAATTGAGAAGCCACTCATCAGTGATGCTAATGCCCGTAACAGGAAAAGGTGTGTTTAAGTCATAAAGCCTGGACTATAGAGCAGTGGAAGCGAGTAATATGGTCTGACGAGTCTTCTTTCACATTGTTTCCCACTTCTGGCCGAGTTTACGTCTGGAGAATGCCATCTCAAGCCTATAATACAGACTGCTTGTTGCCAAGAGTGAAACATGGCAGGGGTTCTGTTATGGTTTGGGCAGCCATATCGTGGTTCTCTACTAGCCCCATGATAACTGTGTCAGGGCACATGACTGCCAAGACTTATGTGAACATTTTGGCCGATCAAGTTCATCCCATGGTACAAACTTTGTTCCCCGATGGTGATGGTGTCTTCCAAGACAACAAAGCCCCTGTTCACACAGCTCATATTGTCCATGACTGGTTTTCTGAGCACGAGGATGAGTTGTCCCATCTCCCCTGGCCACCACAGTCACCAGACCTGAATATTATCGAACCTTTGTGGTCTACATTGGAACAGAAAGTGCGTTCTCGTTATCCACCGCCAACATCGTTATCTGAACTTGCCACCGTTTTCCAGGAAGAATGGTATAATATTCCCTTGGCAAACATACAGGAACTGTATTTATCCATTCCGAGAAGACTGCAAGCTGTTTTGGATGCCAACGGGTTTCCTACACCATATTAAGCAAAGAAACATGTTTTTTTAAAGGTGTTTCCATATTTTTGTCCAACCTCTGTGTGTGTGTGTGTGTGTGTTTGATACTGTCGATTAAAAAAGGTAGTTGCATAGCTAGATGTTATGGAAGTCCCGTATATAAAATTTCAGCATCATTCCGCTAAATTTTTGTAGTTATGCTGGGTACGCATACATACAAATGTCATGGATAAATCTCTTTTTAGTCCATTTTACAGTCTGTTTTGGAAAAAATAATCCTTTATTCTGTCTTTACATACAAATGCCATGCAAAAAAATCATGCAAATGGATTTGGGAATGGTCAAAATGGATATTTGTGTTTAAATATGATACTGCACATTTTTTGCAATTACAGTAGTAGTTCTTTTACTTTAAGGTAATAAAAATTACATGATTAATTGTCCTTAGACTGATACTAAGTTTTATTAAAAATTTAGTCTGATTCCCCCCTCCTGATTTTACTAAATAATAAAATTTTCAGTGTTTTATATCATTACTAAAGATAAATTGATGTAATTCCTCCCTTTTTGAATAATTTTTATCAAATCTAGCATATATAAAAGGGAATGTTTGCCCTTTTGGAATGAAAGAAGATTAATTAGTGTTGAAGTGAAGGAAATTAATTGTTGTTCTGTACTCTAATTGTTGTACTTGATTTGTTGTTACTTCTTTCTCCTCCTTATACTTTATCCCCCCTTTTTTCAGATCATTATCTGATGCTATGTCTGTTGAAATGATTGCTGCCATAAAAGCAAAACGTTTAGCCAAGAAACGAAGTACAATTAAAGGGGATGATGATGTCCAACCTAATTATACAGATATTCAGAGAATTTTAGATTATGATGTAGATGTCACCCGTGATATTATCAGCCGTGAAAGACAGTGGAGAACTCGGACAACAATCCTTCAAAGTACTGGGAAGGTAAATTGTCGATAATTCAGATTGAAATTTAAAATATTCAATATATGTTATTCCTCCTATGAAAATTTCTTAATTAAATTTACAGTTTTAATTGAATTTTTATAAATGTATTACAGTATCTAAAATATTTATATTATAAATACAAAGGGTGTTTACACGTTTTTAAAATGATTTCAGGCCGTTTAATTAATGCATAAAATTGAATTTTTATATATTATATATATATATATATATATATAGATATTTGATCTGATAGACCTGATAGACCTTTTTTCTGGATTATTAGTTTGCATCGTAATTTTCATGATAAAAGTGTTTTTTGTAAAATTTCCATGGGTATAGATTTTCATTTCTCTTTCACTACTTTCCTGAATCCATCAGTCGTGTTCAGTTTATGCTTAGAAACAGCACTTTTCAGGAGAGAGAGAGGCACAATAGTTCGTAGGTCAAATGTCGGAAGATTCCGAATATATTGTTGAAAAAATACCGTATTTGCCAGTGTATAAGACACACTTTTTTCTTTGAAAATAGATCTGAAAAACGGGATGCATCTTAATGGCAATACTCAGTTTTTTATTACATTTATTTCTGGAAATTCAGAGTTATATGATTTTTTTTCTTGTTTCCTTGCAGAGTTGAGGAATATTACAGTTACGTAGAGCTCAGTGAATGCGCATGCGCTGTCATTGACAATCACAGCTGGGTTCGTTTAAACTTCCTAATTTTTGTGAACGACCTTTAAATGTGTGAAATTTCTACTATTCAGTTTTCTTAAATTTGTTGACAGGTTATGGTTCATAGACAATGTTGGCATTGCTATAACATAGCATACAAATTACGTGGGATTGCGTATGCTAGAACATGAAAACAGGCCTGCAGAGAGGCAATTTGGACCACCACCAGCTGAGAAAACAATAAGAACTTTGCGGAATTATAATGATCAGTAATAAAGTTTTATTCTTCAAAAATGTGTATAAAAAAAGAGATGCATCTTATACGTCGGCAAATATGGTATATATCAATATGTATTTTGTTAAATTCAATATGTATCAGTTTTCTTTTTTCAAGGAATGTAGTGGTACTTTTCGAAGTATGACTCGTTGCATTGTCTTGATGAAATTTCACTCATGGAAAGTCACTGAGATAAAGAAATGGATATTATTCTGTAAATATTGGATGTTTTAGCATTTTTTTCCATTTTGTAATTTTTATTTCCAGCGAATCCTGTGACAGTCATAAGCCCCATATTGAAACTTTCTCTTCCCACCCCCAGTCGAGAGTGTGAATGTATTTCCATTAATATTCTGCTAAATAGTTTTCATACAGGGTTGTACAAATTATCTTGCATATGCCATATGCCTTAACAAAAGCTGGTGAACATTGTTTTTAGCTTTTTTAAGTTGTAAGTTTTGGTTTATATTTTATTTATTATTGTTACAGATGTATTTAAAGACTTTGCAATTGATATTTGCATGGGTGGATTTTCTGGTTTTCAACAATTTAACTTTAAAAACAGTATAGTTTTGTTTCAGGTAGTCATTTGGAGTCTTCTTTTCAGGTAGAAGTAATGATTGATGGTTTGTTCCTTTCTGATTAATAATGCTGCTTATTTTGCACTTAGAAATTTTAATGCAATGCACTTCACAGCATTTTTGAAATACGGAAAAGTGCAAAAACATATTTTTCAATCCAAACTTGTTTACATGTGGCATTTTGAATGAAGAATAGATTTAAAGGTAGCAGATGATATTTCTCATTTCAAATAATAAGCTGTTGCCAAAAAATTTTATTCCAATGCATTTGCCTTTTTTTTTAATTTATCGAAATCATTCTGAAAATGTTTAGACCCCCTCTGTAGGGTTTTATGAATAAAAACCAACTTTTTTGGGGGAAAAAAATATTAATAAAATTTAGGATTCTTCTTGACAGTCATATCACACATTTTTGTCATATTTCTTTCCCTAAACCTTTGACTTAGTATTGGATGAATTGAAGCAATAGTGATCAGCAAGGAGCATTCTTTAGTTTTGCAGCAAAATTCTCCATATTGCAGGAGAGAAACACACCCCTTTTTGTGTATGTGTGCATGCATAAGTTTTCATTAGTTTACGTACTTTTGTTGGATCTATCAAATTTAAAGTTAGGACAAATGGAAAAAAAAATTGATTCACATTGTAATGTAATTATTTCAATCAACCATTGTGACGATTTAATTAAAGCAAGCTTTGATGTGTAAAACTTCATAAACATTAACTCATGACACCACAAGTAAATGAATTACATAGCAGTAATGAAGAGATTGAATGATCTAGCAAACAGTATTTGCATTTGAGCACTTTTTTTCTTTCTGGTGTAAGTGAAGGCTACACAGTATTTTTTGAAGGAATAGGATGGCTGCAGCTTCATCTGTTCCAAATCCATTACAATTCTTGATTCTTAAAAGTTGCTGAAATTAGCCATAAATCACCAAAAACAGTCCTAATGTAAACTACTTAAATTTGAAAAAATAAGTGCATTTTTTGTTTAGCTGTATGTGTAAACTTTTGACAGCATTCAAAAAAGAGTACTTACATATTAACACAGCCACCTTGCCACAGTTTCGCTATTTTTTACAGATGGAACGGTGTAAATTCCTTATTGCTGTAATCAGCAAGTTTCTGATTTATCATAAGTTGGCAAACATTATTGACATATGAGAAAAAGGCATATTTTAGTAACTTAAAATACAAATTCTATTTATGAAATAAGAATTACATAATACATTGAAAAAGTAAAATTATATCCAAATCTTTCTGTAATTTTTTTTTTTTTTTTACACTGTTCTGCTGTCCAAGTACACAGCAATCTGTTTTAGCTTTAACCTTTAAAAGATGGGTGGCCTAAGAATCGGCCAGAGCTGCAGTGTCTCAAAAAGACAGCTGTGGCCAAAATATCGGCCAGCGAATTCCCCCCACACACACACATCCTTCAGGGTGCGGAAATAGTCATTATCTGAATAACCTCCCTTGCCACTTATGCTAGATGACCTTCGCGCCTCCCATTCCCTTTCGTTTCCCTCAGCAGTGAAATCTGAGCAATTTTACATTAGTATTAATTTCACCAACTTTTCAGTGTCATTAAAAATATATTTTTTCTTTATATTTCTGCTTTTTATTGTAATTTTTGTATTTAATATTGCTGTTTGAAACATGCAAAATCCAATGGAGTGCAATGATAATCAATAAAATCTGTTTTTAAAGTAAAGGAAAATAATTTTAAAAAAAAAACGCTAAAGGATAAAAAAAAGCTTTTATCACAAAACTGCAAGAAAGAACAACGAACAATAATATAGTTGAAAGATGAAATAACTTAGGATACAATGGGGGGAATCAATAAATTAAACTGAATAAGAATGCTAATGAAAAAGGTAAATGAAACTAACATAAGAAAAATACAACGGGATTTGTTTGATATATAAATATAAGCTGCTACACAATGCTTGGAAACAAATAAAAGCGAACTGCCAATTTACACGAGAAACAAATAGTTAAACATCATTTTCGAGTATAAATTAAAAATGTTAATTAGTACACGTAATTTTAAACTAAATTCATTTTGGAAACAAGTAAAAACTGAATAAACTATGAACTGATTATAGGCATACATTTGCTGCTAAGGTGTATTTTCATTATGACACTATGTCAAAATTTAATAATTCCAATATATGACAATTATTTAGCTACGAAATCTCACCGTAATATGTTTCCCTAGTTTAGGGAAAAGAAACATCAGAAAAGAGAACAAATTCTTTTATATTATTCCCTAGTCTCTTATCTGAAAATTAACAAAGGCGACCTACAGGAAAAGTTGCAAAAGAGTAGTAGTTTCCCTTTACAATAACAGCTAAAAGGGGGGTGGAAATGCATTTGGATTTCCCGTCTTTTTAAGTGAAACCTTTCCAAACTGCCCTGTCTCTTAAAGATTAAAAAACTTATTATTTCCACTTATTATTGCACTTATAAATCTTAAATTTCATTTTGTGGATTGTATGGTTCTGCTAAGTGGTGAAATAAAAACCAATGAGGCTTGCTTTTCATCATCTTGAGTCATATCTTTTGGAATTCTTTTGATACCATATTAAATATGGCAGCCAGGAACGGTATGGGAAAACAAAAACCAACTTGGTAATAATCTTGTTGCCATTATGAGGGATACGGGAAAATGAAAGCAAATCAAAAAGGTTGATTTGATGAAAGAATTTGTTGTTCGAATGATATACCAGAACAATATAACCAGAATAATACATGTATGTTATATTTGTTCTGGAGATATACCAGAACACATATAACACACATGTATGTAGGAAGTATAAAAGTACCCAAAATGTTAATATTTTTCATGATGATTTAATGCATATCTTCCATTGGTATTTCCCCAAGACAAGCATGTTACTGTGCGAGACCATGGCTTATCAATCTAGAAAACTTTTTTTTATTATTATTTTTTATTTTATTCTTAGCGCAGTGGTTCCCAATCTTTTCCAAGTCACGACACCTTTTTTGAATTAAAATTTTTCCATTTCTTAAGTATGACTAATCGTAAGTAAGAGATAAAAATAAATAAAACTCGCATATCTTCGCTATTTAAGATTTTTTTTTGTTTTATTAGCATTAAATTAATAATTAAGGCAAATTACTGCACATATTCTCAAACCGTGGAATTATACCAGATATATCCAGCTTTATTTACTTTTCCACATTCACTTTTGCTGTATACTTGCTTTTTTTTCATAGTGACCACCGAAAAACCACCTTTGCATAAATACAATGTCTAAATTTGTAATTCTCTTCTTCCACAGAAGTAAATTCAGATAAAGCACTTATTTTAAATGGATATTGAATCCATATAAGCCTATCGAAATTATCATTTTGAACGTATTTATCAAATTAGATATTTAAGTGTGATAAAAGTGCCCTTCAAACATGTTTTTGTATCTTGAGAAAGATGAAATTCATTTGACA